TCCAACTGAGCCTTCAACGCCAGGAGAGCCAGTGCCCGAGAGCCGCACAAGCACCACACACCATTAACCAGCCCCTGCCCTCGCCACTAACCCATTCCGGCAACGAACCACGACTCAGAACCAACTCTCACTCTTATGCAATTCAAGAGGGACTGCATTTTCACTGGCCTCCTTTTAAACACGCTTGCTTGCCAGTGATTAACGCTGCTTAAAGAGGCTCAAGTTTCACCACTCAGGTCCACTCTTGCCAACAGCACTGGGCCAGGACTGTAAAAAGCTCCAGAAACTGCAGAGATTGTGGCTAACCAAGGAGCCCAGCACGGGCTCTTGCATCCACTTGAAAAGGAAAAGGAGCATTTATAAGCAAATCAACATTGCTACGAACAAGCAGCAAGTCTCAGGGGAGCCCAGAGATCAGTTAGAGATATTTCCATGCGTTAGGCTACAATTTTCCCCATTTACAAAGGACAGGACACTGCAAGTTTCATCTCGATGAGCCCAAACCACACGTGCTTTCTCGCAAAAGTCCATGATTTCACAGTTTCAGCCCCAGCAACAACCACTTTCCCAAGAAAGCAGCTCCAAACCCAGCATGAGGTTTTGCACAGGCACCCAAACACTTCCCCCCCGGAGAACAAAAACCAGAACAATCACTTACAGTTGTCAGACTGGAAATCTGGGACAAATTGTTCATCATCGGGGACCTGAGCTAAAAAAACAACAACAAAAGAAGTGGTTTTATGCTGTTTTCGGTTCTCAAAAAAATGCTTGCGGAGAGATTTTACACGGCAAAAGGCAGAGGTGAAGACTTGCCTTCAGCTAGCCAGGCCTCTTGGAGCTGGCTGAGATCCTGGAAGAGCTCTGGAACAGAGTGAAAGACTTATGCACTCCACAGAAGAACAAATAAAACTGCCATTATTCGCAGGATTATTTCTAAACCGACGAACATGAGGAAAGCGGTCTCACGGGGCTGCAGCGAGGCCACGGCTGCCCGGGCCAGCCCTGCCTACCTTCCGAGTCGTGGGCCAGGTCAGTCTCCAAAAATTTCCTTTTCCTATCGGACCCCGGCCGGCCTCGGCCCTCCTCTGCGC